AACCGTTCTTTTTGAATTTATGACAGCAGGTGTCTCAGTGGCAGCGCTGCTTTTATCCAGAAAGGAACAGCAATTGGGAAGAGTGGTGCTCTGGACCAACTCCACACAGGTTAAAAGATATTTGGAGGAGGAAATGGGCCTGAATTCAATCCCTTTAACACTGGATTAATAATGAAGACAGATGGCAGGGTGGATCAGGCAGTGGTTGGATGGTGGTGGTGATTGGGATGCTGGGAAATTGACCAGCTTTGGGATACATCCTTAGGGCTTAACAAAAGTAAAATTAATCACATAAGCGGCTGGCAGCACTCTGCATACTTTTTTCCCTCTTCATTTTTACACTACGTAACAAATTGACCAGCTTTGGGATACATCCTTAGGGCTTAACAAAAGTAAAATTAATCACACAAGCGGCTGGCAGCACTCTGCATACTTTTTTCCCTCTTCATTTTTACACTACGTAACTTTTGGCCCTCTAGTAGTTGATGGAATTCGGTTCTGACTGTTTATGCCTACTGAGAAAAGCTATGCTTGCAGACATTACCTCATGAATTATTAACCTCTGAGAGAGATGAAAAGCAAATGAGTTGAGGATCATAATTTGTCTTGGATCTGCAAATGGTTATTCATTTTTCGCCTGAATAATTTCAGCATCACTTGAAATAAGTGGTGCTTAAAATTCCACTATACATGCCAGCTTTAAAAGCCTTGAAAACCCATAATATACATTAAACTGATAAAATAGGAAATGTACTGGCTGAATATTGAGAAGGTCATGGGAAAGAGGAGCACTTATCTGCTTACGTAAGGCACTGAGCAAGTCTGCCTCACTGTCACAAAATAATTCATGTGCTCAATTGCAACTGCCACTCCAGCAAACAAGGAATGTCTTCGCAGCGTTGGGCTTTGACTACTGAAAGGAATTCTGTCTGCCCCTCTCAGTCCAGAGGATGCTGAACGTGCCCAGCATAAAGAGCATGGGCATCCCCCCTCCCTGATTTAAAAGTGACACCGTCACCCTACATTTACACACAGAAATGCTAAAAACGATTTAATAGAACCAGTATAAATATCATATCAAGTAAGGGTGTAATGGTACACAAAACAATTTGGTACATATGCATGTGTACCGAACAAATACAGCGTTGGTTTAACCACTGCACGAGTGTAACTTAATTGGAAACTTATTGTTACTTTTGATAAGAAACAAAATTTAATCTTTCAAATAATGTCAATTTTTTTCTTTGTGACGTGACAGATCGCTGAATAGGTGCCTCAGTTCAAACAGCAGCGCAGAGCACACGTGAGCGTACACTACGTAACTTTTGGCCCTCTAGTAGTTGAAGCATAAAAATAGCAGAGGTACATTGTTTTGGTCATTACACAAGTTAAGTTTCTGCTTCGCTGTTCTGTTCAGATGAATCAAATGGTTTGTATCTTTATTTATGGATATGACGTAAACATGCACAGACAACTGACGGAAGTATGAAGTTTCCAGTGAAATCCATCCCGAAGTATAAATAGTTATTAAAGCCTCACCATAGTAATTAAAGGTAAAACAATAACACAGTTTGGAAGATGCATTTATAATGTACTCACTCAATATTTTCATTTTGTTAATTACAAAAATAAAAGTTATATAGTGTAGTTTTAAAAAGGTTATACTTATTTTAAAAGCATGACATTTTTAATGGTATCTAATTTAAGTGTAGTGTAGTATTTTAATGTTAAAAAACTACAATTGGTCTACAATTAATGTCCCTGAAAAAAATGTGTTTATTAACAAAATTGGGTAACACTTTACTTGAAGGGGTGTGCATAAGACTGACATGACACCTTCATAATCCTTATGCACACCCCTTCAAGTAAAGTGTAACCCAAAAGGGTTCTTTTCTTTGTTCAAATGTTAATGGGTCTGGATTATGACACACACACACACACACACACACACACACACACACACACACACCGGGACTATGTTATTATTATTATTATTATTATTATTATTATTATTATTATTATTATTTGATTTTACATTTATTTATGTATGTTTATTTATTTAAATTACCATAAAAAAATTGGGGGTCAGTAAGACTTTTTAAAAATTATTATTAATACTTTAATTCTGCAAGGACGCATTCAATTGATCAAAAGTAACAGTAAAGACATTTATTGTGTTATGAAAGATTTCTATTTCAAATAAATGCTGTTCTTTTAATTAAATGCTTTCTATTATTTAAAGTATCCTCAAACAAAAAAAAGGTTCCACAAAATACTCTTTGCAACAGTAGTGCATAGAAAATTTATCATCACAATTTCTGATTCATGACCGCAAGAATGAAAATTGTGCACTTTTAATTTCAGAGTTGGCTCAGTGATGACTGTATAAGCTACAAATGACCATTCAGGTCTAAGTACAATCAATCATTGATGACCCTCTGTCTCCTCTAACAGATGACCCGACTGTCCAAGGCCTGGATAAATCTCGACACCTGCAAACAGGAGAGATGATCATCATTGTGGTGGTGCTTCTTATGTGGGCAGGTGAGACACTGATGTCAGCTCAAAGAAATGTGTCAACTCTATTAATAACATCCAAGTCCAGGAATTCGGTTCTGACTGTTTATGCCTACTGAGAAAAACTATGCTTGCAGACATTACCTCATGAATTATTAACCTCTGAGAGAGATGAAAAGCAAATGAGTTGAGGATCATAATTTGTCTTGGATCTGCAAATGGTTATTAATTTTTCGCCTGAATAATTTCAGCATCACTTGAAATAAGTGGTGCTTAAAATTCCACTATACATGCCAGCTTTAAAAGCCTTGAAAAACCATAATATACATTAAACTGATAAAATAGGAAATGTACTGGCTGAATATTGAGAAGGTCATTGGAAAGAGGAGCACTTATCTGCTTGCGTAAGGCACTGAGCAAGTCTGCCTCACTGTCACAAAATAATTCATGTGCTCAATTGCAACTGCCACTCCAGCAAACAAGGAATGTCTTCGCAGCGTTGGGCTTTGACTACTGAAAGGAATTCTGTCTTCCCCTCTCAGTCCAGAGGATGCTGAACGTGCCCAGCATAAAGAGCAGGGGCATCCCCCCTCCCTGATTTAAAAGTGACACCGTCACCCTACATTTACACACAGAAATGCTAAAAACGATTTAATAGAACCAGTATAAATATCATATCAAGTAAGGGTGTAATGGTACACAAAACAATTTGGTACATATGCATGTGTACCGAACAAATACAGCGTTGGTTTAACCACTGCACGAGTGTAACTTAATTGGAAACTTATTGTTACTTTTGATAAGAAACAAAATTTAATCTTTCAAATAATGTCAATTTTTTTCTTTGTGACGTGACAGATCGCTGAATAGGTGCCTCAGTTCAAACAGCAGCGCAGAGCACACGTGAGCGTGATCATCCCTTCCTCTTTACTTCTAATTTGAACATGAAATAAACATGAATGAACTTCTCACCCCTCATGTAATCGCTCAATCAGTGTTTCAACTGTGGAAAGACGCCAATAAAACAGCTTGTAAACAAAACCTCACATAGAATTTCATTTTATCTCAAGCATGTCATCAGTGTCTGCAGCTCATTAGTTTGCGAGAGAAATGAAGTGCAGAGAAGAGCATTTTGCAAAATATTAGACTATATACTTCATTATATTTTACTTTACCTGTAAGTGATGTCTTAATTATTTAATGTATGTTTAAATAAATCTGTAATGACAGCCACTGTGTAAATGATTATTTTTCAACAACAAATAGAAATTTTATAATTTAGAAATTAATTAAAAATCTCTTAAATGTGCAATTTACATGTTTGTATACAGTTTTTTTTTTATTTGAGTGTTGATTATTATATTTTAAAATAAGTAGTAATTGAATTTAAGTTTGGGCTCTGTTGTTATTTGTAGCCTTATAGTAATGTAAAATGACTCCCTATAGTTTAAAGCATAAGCTGAGGTAGATTTTTATCTCTAAGAAAATTTTAATTACAATTGAATTTATGTAAAGAGCGAGCAATTTGTTCATAATTAAATTTGTTTAATAAAAAAAAAGCTATTTTATGTCTAGTTTTTCCCTGCTGTACCGAAAACGTACCAAACCATGGTGTCAAAACCGAGGTACATACCAAAGCATCATGTTTGTGTACCATTACACCCCTAATATACAGTACTTAAAATGTTATCTGTTGGTGTGCGAGTCAAATGTTAGTCTCTTATGGTCACCAAGGCTGCATTTATTTAATAATCTATTCAATAAATTATTAAATAATAATATAACAATAAATAATCTGAATTTTCAGCATCATTACTCCAGTCTTCAGTGTCACATGATCCTTCAGAAATAGTGCTGTCAAAGGATTAATCGCATCCAAAATAAAAGTTTTTATTTACATAATATATGTGTGTGCACTGTTTATGTTTATTATGTATATACAAATGCGCACACATACAATATATATTTTGAAAATATTTACATATATTTACATGTATATATTTATATTCATATAATTTATATTATATATAAATATATTTAATATATAAACATAACATATTTTTCTTAAATGTATACATGCATGTATGTGTATTTATATATATACATAATAAATATACACAGTACACACACATACAGTGGGAAAAATAAGTATTGAACACGTCACCATTTTTCTCAGTAAATATATTTCTAAAGGTGCTGTTGACATTAAATTTTCACCAGATGTCGGTAACAACCCAAGTAATCCATATATACAAAGAAAACAAAACAAATAAGTTCAGAAATCAAGCTCTCTGTAATAAAATGGAATGACCCAGGGAAAAAGTATTGAACACGCTTACTGAAATGTATTTATTACTTTGTACAAAAGCCTTTGTTTTTAACGACAGCTTCAAGACGCCTCCTGTATGGAGAAACTAGTATCATGCATTGCTCAGGTGTGATTTTGGCTCATTCTTCCACACAAACAGTCTTCAGATCTTGAAGGTTCTGTGGGCCTCTTCTATGAACTCTGATCTGTAGTTCTTTCCATCGATTTTCTATTGGATCCAAGTAAGGTGATTGGCTGGGCCATTCTAGCAGCTTTACTTTCTTTCTCTGAAACCAAATGAGAGTTTCCTTGGCTGTGTGTTTGGGATCATTGTCTCACTGGAATGTCCACCCTCATTTCATCTTCATCATCCTGGTAGATGGCAGCAGATTTTTAGCAAGAATGTCTCTGTACATTTTTCCGTTCATCCTTCCTTCAATTATATGAATTTTGCCAGTGCTACACCATGATGTTTTGGGGTGATGTGCAGTGCCATTTGACCTCCGAACATGGTGTGTATTATGGCATCCAAAGAGTACACTTTTTGTCTCATCTGACCAGACTATATTCTCCCGGTATTTCACAGGCTTGTCTAAATGTGGTGCAGCAAACTTTAAATGAGCATTAACATGCTTTTTCTTCAGCAATGGAGTCTTGTGTGGTGAGCGTGTATACAGGCCATGGCAGTTGAGTGCATTACTTATTGTTTTCTTTGAAAAAATTGTACCTGCTAATTCCAGGTCTTTCTGAAGTTCTCCACAAGTGGTCCTTGGCTCTTAGAAAACTCTTCTGATAATTTTTTTCACTGCTCTGTCAGAAATCTTGCGAGGAGCACCTGGTCATGGCCGGTTTATGGTGAAATAAAGCAATACGCCTCAAGAAGGGGCTTCACGGGACTTATTGCTTTTATAAAACGGTTACTCCATATATATACGTAGTAAGGTTTCACAAAATAAAACAGAGTAAATAAAGTGTAATGATATTAATAAAAACATTATTCTTCCGCTAAACAATGTAGTTCCTCAGAAACGGTTGTGGTTCCAACAAAGTAGTTGCCGAGCAACACACAAATGTAAACAAAGGTGTATGTTTGTAGAGTAATTTACAACAGCTTCGAACTTGGCTCAACCAATCAGAATCAAGGACTGGAACTATCCGTTTTTTAATGATGTTCTTTCCACTTTCGGATTATGGCCCTAACAGTGCTCACTGGAACATTCAGAAATATAGAAATCCTTCTGTAACCAATGTCATCAGTATGTTTTGCAATAATAAGTTTGCGAAGGTCTTGCGAGAGCTCTTTGCTTTTACCCATCATGAAATGTTTCTTGGTCAAGAGACACCTTTTTATAAGCCATCATCTGGGACTAAACCAGCTAATATTAATTTCCACTGACAAGGTGCAGGATTGCTTTCTATAATTACTTATAGATTTCTCCTGGTGTCTTGGCTTTCCATGCCTTTTTGCCACCCCCCTTTCTTCATGTGTTCAATACTAAATATATTTACTGAGAAAAATGGTGACGTGTTTTATACTTATTTTACCCGCTGTATATTATGTAAAAAAAAACTTTTATTTTGGATGCGATTAATCGTTTGACAGCACTATAATCATTCTAGTATGCTGATTTGTTGCTCAAGAAACATTTCTTATTATTATCAATAGTTAGTGCTTTGTGACTAAACCATGACGCATTTTAATTCAGGGTTCTTTGATGAATAGAAAGGTTAAAACAGCATTTATTTGAAATAGATTTTTGTAACTCTTTGTTTTTTCCACTGGAGATGATATTTGAATAATTAAAGTTATTGTATGTTTTCATAATCAAGCTATCCAATCTCAAAATGTTAAGGAAAAGGTTAATGGCATTAATGTATCATTTTTCATTGATGGCTTTAAGAAAATTGGCCGATTTACAGTAAGAGACAGAGGTGAGATTGAGACAAACCAGGCACAGTTGTGTTTATTCAGTAATTGTCTTAGGGTTGGATGCTTCAGCGACTCTACCTATCAGTCTGTCTCTACAGAGCTTTGTAGAGTTACAACGACTCCATGTCACCATGTCTTCTCTGTTTCTGCAGCCGTAATTGCCTTGTTTTGCCGGCAGTATGACATAATAAAGGACAACGATTCCAGCAACAGCAAAGAGAAGGTAAAACCATCCTCAGAGAGAAGCACACCGGAGCATCACAGCGGGGGTCTGCTGCGGAGCAAGGTGGGACATCTGTGAACCTTTTTCTCAACATCAAACTGTCTTTTCTAATATTTACTCTAAACCTGTATGACTTACTTTCTTCAGTGGAGCACAGAAGAAGAAGATTAGCAGAATCCCTTCAAATCATCTCTTTCTCTACAATGAAATTGAATGGAGACCAAAGGCTGTCAAGCTCCAAAAAGGACTAAAAACTCTCATAAAAGCATCATGAAAGTAGTCCATCTGACTATGAAGTCTTCTGAAGCGATGTGATCATTTTGTGAGGAACAGACTGAATGTAAAGTCTTTATTCAATAAACATCTTGCCTTACCTGTACCTTGGTCACCATTCACTTGCATTGTGTGGAAAAAAGGAGCTTTTCTTGCAAAGAAAAATTGTCTCAAAAGAAAGATACATTTCATTTTTTAATTAACTATTCAAAGTCTTCATCTAGAGTCATATTTGAACAACATCTTAGTGCAAAAAAGATTTTTCTTCATTGTGAAAGAAAGCCCTTAGAAAAATGCCTTATTAGATGTAAATGAATAAGCGGTAACTTTCAACTAAAATTTGTCACCACATCAGATCAGATATCTCCAGTTTTGTAAACTGCAGTGCAAAACAGATATGCATTTATACTTTTCCCCCACAATTCGCCTTAAACCTCAGATTGAGTTGAAACTGAGAAATCTATTTCCCTGTAAATGCAGGCACGATACTTTCCATTAGCTCTTAATGAAAAGTGTAGCATAAGCATTTAGAGCTAAGAGGACAGGGAAAAACAACCCAATCACTTTTAACACCTGCAGAAAGACTAAGACAGAAAGGAGAAAAGCATTTAGATTGCTATCCATCTCACTTTTCACAAAGACTGTCTGCCAATTGAGAACTGCCAATTGATAAAACCTCTGATTGATAAAACCTTTTTGTTATTTGTCGGATGAAACCTGCCAGCAGTGAAGGATGAGACCAAACACTATAATGTCCAGAGTGTCAGTCTGTCAACACTAGGCCAGTCCTGCATTCCCTGACTCATGTGAAAGGCTTCAGGGCCTCTCTCTGTTGTATCACTTTTGCGAGATCATAAACTAAGCCTATGGAGCTTTATATTTGCGCAGACAACTCTACAATTCACTGTTTGGTGTGTTTTTGGCTATACTCAGTAATACTGAACAGTTTGCAAGAGAAAGTGTGTCAGTGTCCCAAAATCATTATTTTTGCTTATAAATAATATAGAGCAGTCAGACTGGGCTTCGATACAGATTTTACCATTCATAAGCACTTGAATTGTTTCGGGTTCTGGTTAATTTGGGTGTGTTTCAGTGATCATTTAAATTATTTCCCTGCTAATGCTGTAAATTGAACAGAGAAGTGTTTGAGACTGATTCAAAAGGGTATCTCTTTATGGACAATTTACTAAAGAGCCAGCTCAAAAGAATCATTCATTTTGGGAATCAGACCACACTGATTGTAGTTTAGTCTTTATTGCATGCAGCCTGCAAGGACAACTCCACAGATAGACATCCACAGAAAGTAAACATTTTTATTTTTTTGGATTCAAACAGACTGTGATTCAATACAAACTCACAACAGGTAAAATATTATTTATTTTACTGTAGTGCTGAATATTCAGAAGCGTGAAAAGCGATGCAGGACACACTGTTTCAGGAAACCTTCTAATTTGGTACTTCTGCTTTTAATTTTCATCATAGGTATACCTCAACTATGAGAGACAAAATGAGAAAAAAAAATCCAGAAAATCACATTGTAGGATTTTTAAAGAATTCATTGGTAAATTCCTCGGTAAAATAAGTATTTGGTTACCTACAAACAAGCAAGATTTCTGGCTCTCACAGACCTGTAACTTCTTCTTTAAGAGGCTCCTCTGTCCTCCACTCATTACCTGTATTAATGGCATCTGTTTGAGTATAAAATCTTTTATACATTCTGTTATCAGTATAAAAGACATCTGTCCACAACCTCAAACAGTCACACTCCAAACTCCACCATGGCCAAGACCAAAGAGCTGTCAAAGGACACCAGAAACAGACAGCAAACACTGTCATTTAACAAGGGGGGGGCAGTTCATCTTAAAAAATAAAGCATATACATAAACCCAAATAGAAAATAAAATAGTTATCGAATAAGCATGTGTCCTATTCTGTGTCCTAAACTCCTGAAACATTGGTGTCTCATACTGCAATTTGGGAAAGAAATCAATCATATCTGTATGTGTGTGAAAATATTCAAATGTAACCCCCTTTGTATAGATTTTCAATGTAATTTAATTACACATTTTTTTTCACAGACAGATTACAGTTACATTTATTTTGAAATTAAATTACGTAATTCCGTTACACGTGTAACTAGTTACTCCTCAAAACTGAAATTCAGTTATTATTTTGTCTTGTGGACTATACGTAAACATTTATGTGATTCAGGACAGTACTGAATAAAAAATAACATGCAATTTTAATGATGCTCTTATTTTGAAAATATTCTCAAAAAAGTTTTGGGAAAAATCTCAGATTGCTCATATTCTGCAAATTTATGAAGAACTGTAAATTATTAAAATAATCATTTTAAAAGGCCCAGATTACGAAGTGCAATACAAATACATTTGCATGCAGACCAATTTTGGGATTTTAAGAATATCAAAATTGTTCAACTGAAGATTAATCTGAAAAACAATATTTTTAACCAACCCTATAGAACAGCACCTAACTAATACTAATTATAACTGTAATTAAAATAATTAAGGCCATCATAATATTTACTACTTTCTGTAGCATCCATGAAGACAGAGAGGAAAGTGAAAAATATTATGCATGATGTTTAATTTTAGAATCAGAGACTTTTCAACATAATAAGTCCTGTGGATCAAACACCAGAGCTACTGACCTACTTCTAAAATAAACCATCTCAGGAAAACCACCATGTGCCTTTGATCCTTCCCATATTCCTGTAGCTCTTCACTTGGCACTTTCTCCGTAGGAAATTCAGAGCAATAAAACAAGGACAGATGCTTCACATTTCACCCGTTCCACTCTGTGCCGCCATTAGTCCTTATAACACATCAAAAAACCAGGCCTTTTAGACGCATGATAAAATCAATATCAGACCCTTTGATGATGTCCTCTCCCGTATCAAAACCCAAATGGCCTCAATTTCGACATACTGCACTGCTACAGAGCAAAAAATGATGTGCATTCGTCTCCGTGTGCATTACATCTTAGTGCTCACAGCCATATATACAATAATCTCAAGCTGCAAATATATCCAGCGACATTCTATCCATCCCACAAGCCATCGTGTCCCAGACCGCCACACAAACGATTGCAGGCGCTGATGAAACGGGCCCCTCGGAGGAGAATCACTCTTCTGTTTTTTTTTGTCCTCCTGTCTGTTGCAGTTCCACCAGTCTGTGCCATCGATCAACATCATCGAGGTGTGATGGGAGTATCGTAGACGTCAGTCATGCCCTCCGACGCAGTATCAGGATGACAGTATGGATCACCACACGGTCAAAAACCCATCAGCTACACTGCTGTATCGGCCCACCCATATACACATATTAAAGCTATCTACTGGGACTGTAAATAACGTACATTGCGCATATGACTGGATGTCTATATTTTATGATGGATGGAGAATTCCCAAAACTCTTACTGCAAGATATCAGACTAAATCTGGGATTTTTTCTCTTGTATAGAAAAGGAAGGAAAGTGTATTTTTGTAATGGTACTGAAATATGACAGGGTTTCTACTAATTTATTAGCTTGTGTTTTGTTTGTGCATGCAGCTCTCGTGGTCTGAAAGGATGTGTACAGAAGCAGGTCTTTAGATTAAAGGAATAGTTCACCCAAAAATTAATCTGAGGCCTTATAAAATGTTGATGAGTTTGTATCTCCATCAGAACAGATTTGGAGAAATTTAGCATTGCATCACTGGCTCACCAATGGATCCTCTGCAGTGAATGGGTGCCGTCAGAATGAGAGACCAAACAGCTGATAAAAACATCACGATAATCCACAAGTAATAAAGTAATGTTTCTAATAAATTTATCAAGACGTTTTTCTCCATAAGGCATCTTGTTTGATTCAGGAGAGAAATATACACTGATCAAGGATTCTGACGGCACCCATTCACTGCAGAGGATCCACTGGTGAGCAAGTGATGTAATGCTAAATTTCTCTAAATCTGTTCCGACGAAGAAACAAACTCATCTACATCTTGGATGGCCAGAGCTTGTGCACATTTGTTCACATATTTCTTTAAGGCTGTGCCCTTATTAGTCTGTAGATGTGGTGGAATTGTGTCTGTTCTGCTTATTAGAGAGAACAGATTTATGTCAAATCCCTCTGCTTGCAAATAGCTTCATCTCTTCACCTTCTTTAACAGTTTTTATGTATCGTAAATATGACTAGTAATATTTATTTGCTTATTTAATTAGTTTTGTTTCACTGTTATCATTTTAAAACCCTAAAACCTGAATAATGTACCTAAATGCTAATCTGTGTAAAAAAAAAAAGAATATCCTGACTGAATCTGAATTATTGTTGTTTTAAGAATATAAAGACAGCATAAACCTAATGATGAAAAGTGCATGTATAATTTTGCATTTATGCTCTCAGTGGCTCCTCTTTTAAATTAGTTGATTTCATCTTCTATTTCTCCTTATCAGTTTTAATAAAGATAATGAATGACTTGATGTAAGTTTGTTTTTTCTTGCCTTCTTAATGGCATTATAGCATATTTGGTGTATGAGAGAATATAAAACCCAAACCTAATGTTTGTTTCAACACAGACGTGCAAATGAAGTGGGAAGTCATTTATTGGTGCATTCAACCACCAAACAAAGTACATTTAGAGTCATTAACATTGTCAAAACATTAGAGAATTAATCAAATGAACAATATATTCAAAACAAAGACTCAAATCTACATTGTCTCGATATAGAAATATCCTAATGGCACTACTTTTTCATTAACTGCTAAAATCACAAGATATGAGACTATTGTGTTTTTGAACAAATATTTTATTATACATAATTAAATATCAACCAATGTTTATGTATATATGCAAATGACCTCTTCAGCTCAATTATGGTTTCACCAATTATGGTTTCACAATGGTTTAAATAATAAAGATTAGTATGTGTACAAAGCCAAACATAGATTGCATAGATTTTTATAAAGCACCAATTTTTTTACTATAAACAAATAACAAAATAAAACACATTATAAAATCAAAAGTCTAGAAAATCACATTGTAGGATTTTTAAAGAATTTATTGGTAAATTCCTCGGTAAAATAAGTATTATTTATATCTATTATATTATATCTACAAACAAGCAAGCTTTCTGGCTCTCACAGACCTGTAACTTCTTTTTTAAGAGGCTCCTCTGTCCTCCACTCTTTACCTGTATTAATGGCATCTGTTTGAACTTGTTATCAGTATAAAAGACACCTGTCCACAACCTCAAACAGTCACACTCCAAACTCCACCATGGCCAAGACCAAAGAGCTGTCAAAGGACACCAGAAACAAAATTGTAGACTTGCACCAGGCTGGGAAGACTGAATCTGCAATAGGTAAGCAGCTTGGTGTGAAGAAATCAACTGTGGGAGCACTTATTAGAAAATGGAAGACATACAAGACCACTGATAATCTCCCTTGATCTGGGGCTCCACGCAAGATCTCACCCTGTGGGGTCAAAATGATCACAAGAACTGTGAGCAAAAATCCCAGAACCACACGGGGGGACCTAGTGAATGACCTGCAGAGAGCTGGGACCAAAGTAACAAAGGCTACATCAGTAACACACTGCGCTGCCAGGGACTCAAATCCTGCAGTGCCAGATGTGTCCCCCTGCTTAAGCCAGTACATGTCCAGGCCCGTCTGAAGTTTGCTGGAGAGCATTTGGATGATCCAGAAGAGGATTGGGAGAATGTCATATGGTCAGATGAAACCAAAATATAACTTTTTGGTAAAAACTCAACTTGTCGTGTTTGGAGGAGAAAGAATGCTGAGTTGCATCCAAAGAACACCATACCTACTGTGAAGCATGGGGGTGGAAACATCATGCTTTGGGGCTGTTTTTCTGCAAAGGGACCAGGACGACTGATCCGTGTAAACGAAAGAATGAATGGGGCCATGTATCGTGAGATTTTGAGTGAAAACCTCCTTCCATCAGCAGGGGCATTGAAGATGAAATGTGGCTGGGTCTTTCAGCATGACAATGATCCCAAACACACCGCCCGGGCAACGAAGGAGTGGCTTCGTAAGAAGCATTTCAAGGTCCTGGAGTGGCCTAGCCAGTCTCCAGATCTCAACCCCATAGAAAATCTTTGGCGGGAGTTGAAAATCCGTGTTGCCCAGTGACAGCCCCAAAACATTACTGCTCTTGAGGAATGGGCCAAAATACCAGCAACTGTGTGTGAAAACCTTGTGAAGACTTACAGAAAATGTTTGACCTCTGTCATTGCCAACAAAGTGTATATAACAAAGTATTGAGATGAAATTTTGTTATTGACCAAATACTTATTTTCCACCATAATTTGCAAATAAATTCTTTAAAAATCCTACAATGTGATTTTCTGGATTTTTTTTTCTCATTTTGTCTCTCATAGTTGAGGTATACCTATGATGAAAATTACAGGCCTCTCTCATCTTTTTAAGTGGGAGAACTTGCACAATTGGTGGCTGACTAAATACTTTTTTTCCCCACTGTACATAGCTATGACAGCAAACACTGTCATTTAACAAGGGGGGGGCAGTTCATCTTAAAAAATAAAGCATATACATAAACCCAAATAGAAAATAAAATAGTTATCGAATAAGCATGTGTCCTATTCTGTGTCCTAAACTCCTGAAACATTGGTGTCTCATACTGCAATTTGGGAAAGAAATCAATCATATCTGTATGTGTGTGAAAATATTCAAATGTAACCCCCTTTGTATAGATTTTCAATGTAATTTAATTACACATTTTTTTTCACAGACAGATTACAGTTACATTTATTTTGAAATTAAATTACGTAATTCCGTTACACGTGTAACTAGTTACTCCTCAAAACTGAAATTCAGTTATTATTTTGTCTTGTGGACTATACGTAAACATTTATGTGATTCAGGACAGTACTGAATAAAAAATAACATGCAATTTTAATGATGCTCTTATTTTGAAAATATTCTCAAAAAAGTTTTGGGAAAAATCTCAGATTGCTCATATTCTGCAAATTTATGAAGAACTGTAAATTATTAAAATAATCATTTTAAAAGGCCCAGATTACGAAGTGCAATACAAATACATTTGCATGCAGACCAATTTTGGGATTTTAAGAATATCAAAATTGTTCAACTGAAGATTAATCTGAAAAACAATATTTTTAACCAACCCTATAGAACAGCACCTAACTAATACTAATTATAACTGTAATTAAAATAATTAAGGCCATCATAATATTTACTACTTTCTGTAGCATCCATGAAGACAGAGAGGAAAGTGAAAAATATTATGCATGATGTTTAATTTTAGAATCAGAGACTTTTCAACATAATAAGTCCTGTGGATCAAACACCAGAGCTACTGACCTACTTCTAAAATAAACCATCTCAGGAAAACCACCATGTGCCTTTGATCCTTCCCATATTCCTGTAGCTCTTCACTTGGCACTTTCTCCGTAGGAAATTCAGAGCAATAAAACAAGGACAGATGCTTCACATTTCACCCGTTCCACTCTGTGCCGCCATTAGTCCTTATAACACATCAAAAAACCAGGCCTTTTAGACGCATGATAAAATCAATATCAGACCCTTTGATGATGTCCTCTCCCGTATCAAAACCCAAATGGCCTCAATTTCGACATACTGCACTGCTACAGAGCAAAAAATGATGTGCATTCGTCTCCGTGTGCATTACATCTTAGTGCTCACAGCCATATATACAATAATCTCAAGCTGCAAATATATCCAGCGACATTCTATCCATCCAGCAAGCCATCGTGTCCCAGACCGCCACACAAACGATTGCAGGCGCTGATGAAACGGGCCCCTCGGAGGAGAATCACTCTTCTGTTTTTTTTTGTCCTCCTGTCTGTTGCAGTTCCACCAGTCTGTGCCATCGATCAACATCATCGAGGTGTGATGGGAGTATCGTAGACGTCAGTCATGCCCTCCGACGCAGTATCAGGATGACAGTATGGATCACCACACGGTCAAAAACCCATCAGCTACACTGCTGTATCGGCCCACCCATATACACATATTAAAGCTATCTACTGGGACTGTAAATAACGTACATTGCGCATATGACTGGATGTCTATATTTTATGATGGATGGAGAATTCCCAAAACTCTTACTGCAAGATATCAGACTAAATCTGGGATTTTTTCTCTTGTATAGAAAAGGAAGGAAAGTGTATTTTTGTAATGGTACTGAAATATGACAGGGTTTCTACTAATTTATTAGCTTGTGTTTTGTTTGTGCATGCAGCTCTCGTGGTCTGAAAGGATGTGTACAGAAGCAGGTCTTTAGATTAAAGGAATAGTTCACCCAAAAATTAATCTGAGGCCTTATAAAATGTTGATGAGTTTGTATCTCCATCAGAACAGATTTGGAGAAATTTAGCATTGCATCACTGG